CTCCCTCCCTCCCTCCCTCCCTCTCCCTCTCCCTCTCCCTCTCCCTCCCTCCCTCTTTGGACATTGCTAGATGAATCGCAGTTCAAGTCTGGGAACAACCCCTTTTCATTTTCCTCATTTTCTCTCATATGACTAGATAGCTCCCCCACACACATACACACACACAACTTTTGAGATCCTTTTGGGATCTTCTTATATATAGTAAATAAAAGATAAATATAACATTATCACTTCTGGTGGGAATGCTATGTTTGATTTGCCTCTTTTGCTTAATGGAAAGATACAACAATTGAGTAGGATTGTTTGCTTGCTGCCCAGAAGGCTCAATCAGCTAACCTAAGAATCAGATATAGTATCTGGACTCATTCTAGTAATAATTTCTTTTTAATGTCCAGGTATGACCAATAGACCAGACCTGATTGATGAAGCACTCTTACGACCTGGACGACTGGAAGTGAAAATGGAGATTGGTAAATAGTCAGGGCAGCAGTTATTATCAAAACCCACAAACAAATGGTAGGCATTAGAAAGTTTGGTAGGAAATAACTTGGTGCATATGGTCCTATGGCCAAAGCCCTCTCTCCATAATTTATATTAACTTGAACAAGGAAGATGTGCAATATGGATTCTCTTGAACATTACACTAACAGAACCATGATACCCATGACTGGAAAATACTCATAGAGATTGAACAAAGGCAAAAACAGAAGACAAAAGTAACATTTACTACAGCTCACAAGCCATTAGTTTGGCTTCATATAAATTGTCTTTCCTTCTATGTGATCATACAGAAATGGCTGAATTCTTACATTAGAAGAACACCAAGCTGCAACAAGCTTTGAGCATGCATTCTTTTGTCTTTTCCATTTTCAGCAATAGAGAAAAGCATTTAATTTTTCCTTTCACATATTGGCTTGTTCTTATTCCCAAGTTTCCAAAGTTTGGATATTACAGGTAGATACAGCTACAGAAGTTTAAACTATATACATCCATAGCATGTAAATATGGGAAGTACAATGTGATTTAGATAGGACACTCCTAAGAAATATCAGGGCAAAAGTCTAGACTGGGAAATCCAAAAACACCCCAAGCAATTGCAAAAGTTGTTAAGAAAATTGCATGGATATGTCCATACTCTCCAGTCAGACATTATCTGTGCCTAATTGTAACAAAATGATTCAGAAATCTCCGTTGCATTCTGGTTGAAAATGAGGTGCAATGTCCATCCCATTTTCCATTCTTTAAAATGGAATGCTCAGAGGACGGGTTTGGGAAAGAAAGGTTATTACTTAGCTTGTTACAATATTGCAATCATGGGAGAAAGTGGTAATATCTAAAGAGCCTTTCCCAATATGGCTGTCTCCATAGGTGTTGGGGACAATTGCTTCTAGAATTCCCCAACTAAGATCTTGACAAGAAATATTGGAAATTGCAGACACGCTACATAAAAGATCATTGTGAAAAAAATGATTTAAAGCAAAATGATAATTATTCTGTTTAGGCTTGCCTGATGAAAAAGGTCGAATGCAGATTCTCAATATCCATACATCAAGGATGCGAACCCACCAACTGCTGGCTTCAGATGTGGATATTACAGAGCTGGCCGTAGAGACAAAGAACTTTAGTGGTGCTGAACTTGAGGGTCTGGTTCGGGCAGCCCAATCCACAGCTATGAACAGACATATTAAGGTTTGCTCCTCCTTAGCACTACCCAATCTCTGCAGATGGCACTAGATCTGAACTTGGACCCTGCCTCCTTATGCCGCTTCCTCTTTTGTTCTTCTTATGAGTTTTGCTTAATTATAAAGAATTCAAGAGTTAACCTAAAAGGCAAAATAAATCCTTAAATGATCAATATTTCCCCTCATTCTTGATTCAAATTTGTTGTAGGGGAAGAAAACTTTAACAAGTAAAAATAGTTTTCAAGGGTGATTCATGTTATTTTTGGGGACCAAAAAAAAGATGAAAGAAAATTGAAGCAAGCAGTTTCTTCTGCTGTAATCTGAAGCTCAGACTAGATTAAATAAATAGCCCCATTTATTTAATCTACATCATTTAGGCAGCATGATACAACAGCTACATCTTCTTTCCCTTTCTTAGTTCTTTGAGCACCATTGTCCCAAACTTTTTTTCTTACCTGCTAATTTCCAGTTATTAAGGCTAACTGTTGGAGGCAGGGTTCATCTTTGTTAAATGCTATAATAAGACTGAGTAGGTACATACATATTAAACATGACTGGGAAAATGATGGTATTGTGAAACTCTATCATGGAATGTTCCAACTCTGGAATGGACATGTTTTGGAGCTACTTTAACTTCTATTTGGGAACAATCTGGGGTTGGAATATTTCCTTCATATAATGTTATGCATACCTATTTTTCAGTTATTTCCAATTTGAAAGTAACACTTAGCTGCCTGCTCTTATGGGCTGGAGTTTTAAAGAAATTCAGTGCAAAATTGTGCTTGTGCTCGCCTAATGGAATGTTGTTCATTTGACAAAGAGACAAAAAATATAAAAGTACACAAGGCAAAAAAGCATGCACATTTGAATATATAGGCTAAGATTGATACACTGGTAGGATGTATGAAATAGATTGTATCTTCTTTGTATTATATCAAACATTTGTCTCCTTATTTATGAAGTTTCATCAAATATTGTCCTGGTCTACTATTAGATATTGAAATGGGATTAGATTTTACTCATACAATATCATGAATTATGATATGCACCAAGAGGGTAAACATCTACAATACTTTTATTACTTAGATCCCAAAGGCCTGATTTCAGACAGAGATATTCTTTGGAGTGTTTCTCTTTCCTTTCTCTTGTTTTCTTTTTCTCCTTCATTTTTAGTTGTAAAGGTCACTGGGCTCTAAGCAGGAAATGAGTGATGTCAGATGTGAAATGTCAGGACGAGTAAATTAGAGATTAGTTGAAACAAGCTAAATTAGTTTTTTATATTGGACAGTGTTGAAATACTGATTTTTGTTAGCCTGTGACTGTAACAGGTGTTGGGCTTGGAATGCATCCTGGAACACATAGCCTTAGTGTGTATGCTGTGCAGATGAATTTGGGGAGGGATGAGACCCTTGTAGTTTATAAAAATGAAGGAAAACATACTTTAAAGATGATTTAAAATCTGAAGCAGAACAAAGTTTTTACTATGGCAACTCCATAAAGTGGCAGATTCCATGGTGCTGATCTACTTTCCCTGGTTCTATCAAGTCACCCCCTTCTTCCCCAGTTCAGAATCACTTATGAAGCTAGATAGCTTCTGCACATTTCTTTGGCACCATCTCCTTTCTTTTCTTTTTTTAAACAGTTTTTATTAGTTTTCCATTTTACACCAACAAGGCTTGAGAATCAACGTGGAGAAAGGGTAATCAATTAAAAAACAACAGTAACATTGTAAATATAAACACAGTATTCCTTAAAATTTCCCTCTCTATCTATTTAGGATATTATAATCAAATTAGTACATTTCTCAAATAAATTCATTCATTAGTGTATCTCTAGATATAAATTCCATTAATCAATAAAAATTTTCAGCAGCTCATTATCTATCCCTTAAAACTTAAACTAACACTCTCTATTTGTTTAAAATATTATAATCAAATTAATACATTTCTAAAACAAATTCATTCATTAATATATCGCTACATATGTTCCATTAATCAATAAAAGTTTGCTAAAACTCATCATCTATCCCATAAGATCCTCTTTTATGCTTTATTAATTTTTCAAATATTTAGACTTAAACAAACTCTATATAAGATGTTATAATCAAATTGATACATTTCTAAAACAAATTCATTAATATATCGCTACATATAAATTCCATTAATCAATGAAAGTTTGCAAAAACTCATTATCCCATTAAATCCTGTTTTACGCTTTGTTAATTTTTCAAATATTTAAACTTGAACTAACATATTTATTTACTATTCAGGTACCCCTAATTTCCCTTATTTAAACATGTTATTTTCATAACTAGATTCTTACATTTCTCAACTGTATTCTATTTTTTTTTCAATAATTCTCCAATTATTAAATTCATCTCTTCCATTATTTCAATTCTTTTCTCATTATATCATCTCTAATATTAAAAAGATATAAAGAGTACAAGGAAAAAAAAGAAAAACTTTGCACAAAAGGAAAGGGACGTAAATAAACCAAGAGAAAAAAACAAGGAAAGAAGAAAAAGAAAAGAAAGAAAAAGAGAAAGAGAAAAAAGAAAGAAGAGAACAATCTAGCATTCCAAAAAAACATATTCTTACTATATTTCATTATTAAATTCTAAATAATTTCATAATGGCCTCCCTTTTGATCAAATCCAAATCCAAATCAATCCGCTATAAGACCTTTACCACCCATAACTATAATCTCCAATTTATTGTTTATATCTTATTCTGGGTTTCTTTCTATTCCAAATGGGTTTCCATAGTCGAGTCTCTAGTTCCGCAAATAGATCTCCCATTGTCTCTTGCCATAATGTGCACACCAAAAGGGAGTCTCCCATTGTCCATTTTATTAGGCTGGTATAAGAATTATAACTATTCTCAGTCGCTCGTAGCTGAACGTCATTTCCCATCTTTTTAAAAATTGCATAAGATTTAGTTGAAGTCATTTTCTTAGTAGATTGTAGATAAAATAATGTATAGTCCTCTTTAGTCAAGTTTTGCTCTTCTTCTGATAGTTTTTTCTCTGTCAAAGAGTCAAATGGTGTCTGCAAGTCGGCTTGGCCTTCTGGGGTACGATCCTCCATTTCCTTATTATAAGTCATTTGTTCATTAGCATCAAGACTTTTTTCCAATATCAGTTGATGATCCAAATGTAAATTTACTTCTTCCGTCTCAGTGGAATGGGAACAAGTCTCTTGAATATAGACCCCCTCTGTTATTTCTTGGCTTCCAAAGTGCTTACTTAAGCCTTGTGCTTTGACTTGTCATTGCAAAGAGATCTCCTTTGTGTAGGCAATTATCATCTCCGTGTTTTCCAGGATTTTGTCCAATATGTACTTATATGTAAGGTCTAAACAGGTTTCCTCCATTTCTATCATATTTAAAGACATTGTCCTTTTGGGGGAGACTATATTTAAAAGAAATCAGTCAATATCCACCTTCTCCCAGGCTTCTTTATCTTTTTCCTTTGTCAAAGTCAAATTCCAAGAGAAAAAGGAAAAAAAAAAAACAAGTGCAATAAGTAGTTTCGCCAGAAAATGTCCCCTGAAGGATAATCAAAGCTAGTCAAATATTCAGTCTTTCCAGACACCATAAAAATAAAAGAAAACAGTATTCTCCAAATAGTTGGCATGTTGAATCTCTATAAGAAAGTTTCTTGGGGTTCCCCAATATCCAAAAATAAAATCAGCCATTAGAAAAAAAATAAATTTAATCCTTTTCATAAGCTTCTCTTCCCCCATCTAAAACGCCACTTCAACAAAAAGGGAAATAATTCCCCCCAAAAAAGCTTTTCATAGGAACAATAAAAAGAAGTAAAGGTAAAAAAAGGTTTCACCGAATCTTCCACGGTGAGTGTTTGCTTAGATGATCTATGGCTTACGGTTGGCGCAGCTAAATAATCGGCCATTTTACTGACCAATCTTTACTCCGTCGGCCCAAAGGAGATACTCGGACTGCAGAAGATGCCGCCGCCCTCTGCAGTTATCCGAGAAGCCTCCTCAACAGTAGTCACTCCTCCAGAGCAACTTTTCGACCCACTCAGGGGTCTACTGGCGGAGGAAACTTGGCCGGCGAAGAAACGACTCTCTTCGCTTGACCGCACCACCGTGATCCGGAACTGGAAGCCTCACCATCTCTTTTCTTAATGTAATGGCTTATTTATTTTACTTTTAGAGGAGACTTGGAAATATGGATTGGGCTTTATGTACATAGAAAGATTTTATGCACTCTCACATTAGTCATCTTAACTGCAGTCCTGGTATGCCCCACCACAATATCTTCCCACTATCTTGGGCACCTAACAAGGAAGAGTTGTAAATCTTCTATAAGGGATGTGATGTGAAAGGGTATCAGAGAGAAAATGCTGGGGATTTTTTATGAATGTGGAGTAGAAAGGTCCAAGTTCAAATCATACATTCTGCTCAACTAGTGGCATAGACAGAAGCAAATAGAAAGGAATGAATGCAGGCAGGCACATGTACACACTTATTCATTTATTCTTTTTTGAAGTAACTAATATTATTTATGCAAGGTGCAGTAAAGAAATAAATAGTATGACTAATTTATTTGTATTACATAAAGCTGTAAATAAAAAAAAAAAGGGAAATAATTAAAACTAATTTATTTCAAACATTTTTATACCACTCCATGCCTTTTTGTTCTTACAGACCATTCTTGTTTTCTCATCAGACATGTACCAGCTTCTATGTTTCTTAATGTACTTTAAACTTCTTGCTTCTTTTATTTTGCCGCATACACTCATGAATTCTATTCTGATACATTGTTTCCTAGAGATTCTTTTTAAAAAAATTCTATATATATATATATATATATATATATATATATATTCTTTTAATTTAAAGGGAAACTGAGAATACTTGAGATTTTTCTTGAAAGTTCCATTATTTGAGCTTTGTAGATCTATTTTGAATTTACACCTTTGTTGGCTGCCTTATTAACGCGCTATCTCCCATTTTCATTAGGCCAGCACTAAGGTGGAAGTTGATATGGAAAAAGCAGAATCTCTACAGGTGACAAGGGGAGACTTTTTGGCTTCACTGGAGAATGACATTAAGCCGGTGAGTGTGTCTTTCATTTTTTCTTGTTGCTAAACAGGAGAATTATTTCACATCATTCCTACTCTTGGAAATGAAGGCAGTTATTCATTATTTGCTTTACTACATCTGTTTCCTTCTAACCACAGGCATTTGGGACCAATCAGGAAGATTATGCAAGTTATATTATGAATGGCATTATTAAATGGGGTGACCCTGTTACTCGGGTGCTGGATGATGGGGAGCTTCTTGTTCAGCAGGCCAAAAATAGTGATCGTACTCCCTTGGTCAGTGTTCTTTTGGAAGGTATGTTACTTGCTCTACAGAGGATGGATTAAATGTGGTCTGCTTCTTGAAAAAGTACTGGGCTTGAGAGAGCTTGCTTCTATCTGGAATGTTATATGATTTCTGAAGGAAGATTATTAGTGTTATATTAGATTATAAAAGGGGATTCTGGCACCTCTGTGAGAAAAGAGAATTGGATTGGCATATTCTTCTCTCTCTTAACACCTTACAGAACTTAATTCAGCATCACCTCAAATCATATTTGGTGTGATATCTAAAATGCTATAACATGGTTTTTAATAGTGAACAAACAAACTGGGAACCATTGAAGTGGCTTTGCACATATGATTAGTGCTAACTGCTATCTGATGTTATTATGGTTAAAATAATACATACTCTCTATCTTGCTCTTTCTTCTTAAAACTTCTAGAAGATTTATGTGTCTAAGTACAAATCATGAAGATAGATATAGAGCTTAGAACTGGGAAAGAGGTGATCCAAAAAATATAGTATTTATTATATCAAAAACTGATAAGAATTTCATCAAAAGCAACAATGAAGCATTGTCCTTGTCCAATTCTGGGAGTAGATTATCCAAAAGGAGGATCACTAAGTCTTCACTCAGTTTGTAATAGCTTTGCTTAATTAATTAATTTTATCCAGGATAGCCTGAAACTTCAGTGCTATAAAAACTGTCAAGAAAGGAGTCCTTGTAATGCTTTACATATCCATGTAGTAATAGTGGGACATGTTAGCCTCAAACCCATTACAATTTCTGCACAATAAATGACAGATCAAGCAAATGATTAACGGAGTTGATAAAATTCTGAAATATTCTGAACCATCTTCCTTCCTGACACCACAAATTTAAGAAACTTCAAAATTATTATGTACATCCTTTGTGTAATTTCAAGCAGATAATGGAGGTTGATGAGTGGGTTAGATATACATATATGTTGACAAAATCTCTGTTCTGTCCCAAGAGGCAATGCGTCAAGGAGACAAACTTAATGAAGTTGCTAAAGGTTAGCACGCATGGTTTGGTATTAAAAGTGATTTGTGTCTCAATGAACTTTCTAGGTTCATAGCTCTTTTAAGAACTTGAACATTCATGTAAATCTCAGCCAAATGGAGAGACCTTTTCTTCCATGTGTATTCAGTTTTCATGGAGAGACTTTGTCTTTTTAACACTGGCAAGTTATGTTATTCCTTTTGTCTATCCCTGGAATATTTTTGCCAACAGGTCCCCCACATAGTGGGAAAACAGCTTTAGCTGCAAAGATTGCAGAAGAATCTAATTTCCCCTTCATCAAGATCTGTTCTCCTGATAAGATGATTGGCTTTTCAGAAACTGCCAAGTGCCAGGCAATTAAGAAGGTATAACTACTAATCTGTTCTTTATTAATCAATTTTTCTGATATATTACTTAATCATTTTTCTCTACTGCTCTCTCTATGTCTAACAGTTTGTTAAATAGTTTTACAAATTAGCTATGTAGCTTTGAATTCAAATCAGAAACGCGAGTATGAAAATAGCCTTATTGTAGCAAAGGAAAAGATATTCCAAAAGCTAAAACAGATATTTATTTATTTACTTACTCGCTTACTTACTTACTTGCCACACATTGTTTCAAAGTGACTCTGGATGGCCTATAGCATTAAAATATAAAAATAATAAAAGATAAATATTTCTAAAGCAATAAAAGCGGAAATTACAATGAAAAATAGAATTATAATTAAAAGATGGGGAGGGAGGGAGGGAGGGAGGGAAAGAGGAGGGAGCAGAATGCATGCCGGAGGGAGCGGGAAGGCAGGATTTCCTCTTAACTCATCAGCCACCTTTAATGTGATATTTCACTGTTGGGGAAAATTTCCTCAAACTCTCCTACTGGATGTACAACCTTGCCAAAATATTGGTAGATTGCATTTTTTCCCAAAAAATCCCAATTTATCCTGAAATAAATTGAAATTGACACAATTAAATGGCATTCACTCTTCTTTATTCCATAGTCCAGACACTTTGTAAGACTGCACATATTTTGTAAATAATAAAGCAAATGAAGGTGGCATAAACATCATCATCATCATCATCATAATATAGATCCTTGGAAAAGACTCAATAGGTAGGCAGAAATGCCAAATCCAGTCTGAACATCTGGTTGACTGTGAGAGGATCCATAATAATAATAAAGGATGACTGCAATTATTACCTTAAAGTGTGCTATGAAATATTACATTAGGGATATCAGTATTTCATATCATATAGGATTGCTTTGAGGCAATAACTGCAATCTAGTACTTTCTGTAATTCTGAGAATGAGACTTCTACATTGGCAATTTGAGGAGTGGCCATCTCACCCCAATAGTATTAGCCCTCTCCTCTTGTGCCAACAGAAGAGGTGTGTATACAGACACTGTTTGCCAAGGAATCCTAGAAGGCAGGGTCAAAGAGAAGATTCTTTTCCGCTTTGGTCCCAACTCCGTGGAACACTCTACCACTGGAGGTGAAAACTGCACCCACCCTTTTGGCCTTCCAAAAGGGTATTACAACTTGGTTTTGCCAGTTAGCTTGGTGCTCCAAGGGGAGTTCTCAGTGCTGGAGGCGGCTGATGGGGTAAGAAGACCCCATCCCTTATTCCATCTGGCTCTTAGTTCCTGAGGTTTTTTTTCATAGTTTTAACATTTTGAATTTGCATAATTTTAAATTTTTAACTGTTTTTCTATTTACCTAAGCTTCCCAGAGTCATTTTATCAGAGAAATGTGTGGCATGTGAATTTAATAAATAAATAAATAAATGTATCCCCCCAGTTTTTGAGTGCAGCAGCGCTTGCTAAACATCCTCTGCAGTGTGGGGGTCACAGGCAAAATCATTCATGGAAAGGAATTTTTTTATATTTACTGTCAATAACGTCTGAAGGGAATGCATTGAATCTAACCAGAACAAATGTTCTGTGATATCTGTTATTTATTATTGATTATTAATAACTACCTGGCATGGTGCTAAAAGAGTGTTTCTAAGACTTGGCTTTGGTGCTAAACTGACATCTGGTTGCCATCCTGTGTCAGTGACTCTCCCTTTCAGGAATTTTTTTGCTTGGTCAAATCCCATCTTTTATATTGCCTCATTAGAGAACCCGTAGCTTTCTAGTTTTTCCCTAATGAATATATTTCAGGTAGATTGGAAGTTAGCCGTGTTAATCAGGCCTGTTGGATTAAATATTAGTTTTAGCTTTCTAGTTTTTCCCTAATGAATATATTTCAGGTAGATTGGAAGCTACCCGTGTTAATCAGGCCTGTTGGATTAAATATTAGTTTTAGCTAATAATTAAAAATAATTAGATATTGCTTCTATACTGGTAATTCCCAGTTCTCATCTTAAAGCTATACTGGATACACTTTTGGGGACTTGCATGATAATCTTAAAAATTTGAACTTTTGTATCTGCGTTTCAGAAATAGGGTCTTCCTGGTCAAACAGTCAAACAGTACTTTTTACCATTCAAATAGCCTGAGTAAATATTTTGCCTGAAAAATCATTGAAATCCAATAGTGTCTTTTAACTTCCAAGGAATAGCAATAGTTATCCCCATGCCATTTTCATTTGTTTTATTATTTAGAAAAATAATGAGAGTCATGCATCAAAAGTAAAGTGTCTATGGAATAAAGGATGCTGGATGTCATTCACTTGTAATCAATTTCAACTTACTGTACTGCAAACTGGGATTTGGGAAGCGGGGAGGGGGGATGTCAATTCTTTTTTAGCTTAATGTAAATTATCTTACTTTCTTTTCAGTTTCATAATGTTATTTAATACAGTGCTTCCAATAACTGGAGAAAAAATCATTTACAGTAGAGTAATATCTTGAAATTCATTGTTATTTTCTGGATATTATAAGAGTGAATAATGATAATTATGGTTAGTCACATAAAATCATAAAATGTAGGATATTAAACTGAAATGCTTGGGAAAACCCCAGAGAAGTTTGGTGGTGGTGGTGTGTATAACTGAGCCAAATTCACTTAATCTGTGACTCTGCTAAAAGAGTCATGCAGAGTACAAAAATCTAGTATATCTAAATAAGAGGTCTTCACATTTCTGTGTAAGGAAAGATACATATCTGCATATGCAGCAAGAAAAAAACATTTCTTGATAAACCAAAGGAAAAAATAATTTTAAGAATGTGGATGGGCCACAGGTAACATCTTCTTCCAAATCTGAGGAAATGGATATTTTAAAAAAAATATTTTCAGCACGTTTTACATGGCATAGGGGTAGCATGCTAAAAAGTGGAATAATTTTCCAAACTTTGAGTGGTTCCATTCAAAATTTTCAAATATTTCAAAGAAGGAAAACAAAATTACTAGCTATCTACAGTATAATACAATATTTTCCTAATCTTTAATTTTAGAGTGTGTTTTGTATAGAAATCAATTTCTCCCTTCGTAGTATTACAATTTGTTAAAAAGCTTTTTTTTAAAAACAATTAAACTAAAACTTGAATTTGATAGAAATTAAATCTTAAATTCCAAGAGGCAAAGCTTTATTTATTTTTACTTGAAGGCATCATTAACAAAATCCTTTGCTGCTTCTTTTTTCTGATGTTTAGATCTTTGATGATGCTTATAAGTCCCAGCTCAGCTGTGTGGTGGTGGACGACATTGAACGGCTTCTTGGTGAGAATGCCTGTAAAGGGAATATCTGTGAAGAACAACGCAATCACATGAGATTGGGGCAAAACCATGGTTTTCTATGAAAAGAAGGGCTGTTGTGGCTGGTGTGCCTGAGCTTGGGTATGGAGGTAGCATTATGGAGGCAGTTTATGCGGATATAGATGATGGAGTTTGTATCCACCTTTCATTATTTGGAGGAAAAGGTACAACACTAGAAGAAGGAAGAATGGTTAGGTCCTGAGATTAAATTAAAGGAGAGTTTTATTTAACCTGCTCTAATTTATCAATTCAAAGATTTATTGTTACCATAGCTAGTTTCCTAATTGATATTAATTGATATTAGCTAGGCAGTAGCAAGGCTCAAATGGAATTCTTTAGTAACACCTATTGGAGCATTAGTTATCTTAATACCACAGTTGGAAGAGTATAATTGACCTGACCAAACTTTGAAACACAACAATATTTGAACTTGTTGCCACTCTGTATGATTTTTCATGAGCTGTGTAAATATATGTATTGTTATTTTGTTATCTTAAACTTTCAGATTATGTTCCAATTGGGCCACGTTTCTCCAACCTGGTGTTACAGGCTCTTCTGGTATTGTTGAAAAAAGCACCACCTAATGTAAGTACCCTGTCTTGCAACAAGTCAAAATGTTTGTAAGCTGAGCTATGTTCTCATCCAAGGTCTTTAAAGTCTTTAAAGAGCAGTGAAACAATTTCATATAAAAGAGGTGAAACATTTACAGAGCAGTCTTTTTTGTCCTTTCAAATTAGAAGAGTTTTAAGTATACTTTATGTTGGATGGGAAGTCAGTTTGTCTTTCTGCTTTATCTAATTTTTTTCGGTATGAATTAAGGAGAAAATTAGCATTTCTGAGTTCTGAGGTATTAGTGAGGAAAATAATTCAACATACGTTATTCTGCATACTGGCATGCTTCTATAGATGTTGCTATGCATGGTAATATCATTATGAAACTGCTGTATGAGGGCTTTCAGGTTTTATTTATTAGATTAATATGGTTAACCATGTTACGTATCAATAATCTTGCATGGCTTACAAACAGTAATAAAAAAATTAAAAATTGATTTATACAAACATAAAAACTCCTAACACCGGAAGGCTCTAGGAATATAGTTCCCCAGGGCTTTGGAGAAAATCCAGGTTTATAAGGCTTTTTAAAAGTCTAGGAAGGTAGGAGCATGCCGGATCTCGGGGAGGAGGTGTCCAAATTTGATGTCAGAATGGGCCCTATACAATTAAAATCTACTTTTTTTTAGTTTGGAAGATAACTTCACCACTTTTTGATTGGGTATTACTATAAACAACTGAAAACAGTTAATCGGGGAGATATTTCTGCTGTCTCTATAGATAGAGCTGTACTTCCTGTGTGTGTGTGTGTGTGTGTGTGTGTGTGTGTGTGTGTGTGTGTGTATGTATGTAAAAGTAAAAGTTTCCCTGCCCAGTCGTATCTGACACTAGGGTATAGTGCTCATTCCCGTTTCTTGGCTGAAGACATTTTCTGTGGCCATGTGGCCAGCATGGCTATACACCAGAAGCACATGGAATAATGTTACCTTCCCACCAAAGTGGTACCTATTTATCTACTTGCATTTCCATGCTTTTGAACTGCTAGGTGGACAGGAGGTGGGGTAAGAATGGGAGCTTGTGAATGTTGTGCGACACTTGGGTTTTGAACTTGGGCTATTAGTTTTCCAGGTGACAAGGTCAACATTTTTAACCATTAAGCCATTGCACTTGCTTATATGTATGTATGTACACTCACCCCCCCCCCCACTGAGTGGTGTGTATGTGTGTGTGTAGACAGACAGACAGACAAACAGACAGACATTATTTAGATGTGGAGCATTCTTCAGCTTTGTAAAATCAATCCAGAGAAAGAAAGAAAAATCCAGTTCTTTCCCTCCATACATGTGGTCTGTAGTCATGTATTTGTATATTCTCTTATACAGATTTTTTTAAAAGCTTATTAAAATTAATGTAGATTTTCCAAAATAAAAGAAACAAAATAAATCCATCTCTCTGAGCTCTTTTATTTTTCCATGTTTCCATGGGTTTTGCAAGGAGAGGAGAGGATTTTTTACAAGCACGGAGGGGGGGAGGGGAAAAAAGAGAGGAAGATTGAAAAGCGCTGGCTCAGCAGGGAGCCAAGCCAGAGAAAAAAAGCATTTTTCTGAGAAAGGAGCAGTAACAGCACAGCAACCCGAAAGGCTTCCTTCATCTACATGCAGAGTCACACAAGGCATTGGATGCTCTGCTCGGGAACCCCACAGAGGCTTCACATGGGGTTCCCTGCTGGTTCCTATGAAAAAACTAACAATTAGACTTAGAGAG